AACTGTTGCAGCCTTTATCATTGCCCTTTCTGCAGGACATTTAAGCCAACCAGACTGGACAAATTAAAATTGCATCTGCAGAGCCATTCCAGCAAGGCAGTTGTCTATGATAGTATGGGTATCTTGAGTTGTTTTATTAATGTGTTGTAGTATAGTTAAGTACTTTACTAATGTAATGATTTATTTGTTGATGGTAAGGCAAATCATGTTTTGCTATAAATAAACTAATGCTTGCCTTCCAATTTAATGTATTGACAGTATCAGTTTGTTTCTTCTGGGATCCCTAAACAATGGCATTGCTATCTTTCATCTTTCAAACTCATTTTGCCCCATTTTAATTATGATTTGACTTTTTCTTAAATTTTGCTGGGTTTTTTTTGTATGCTCTACACGTTGTGTTGGGAGCCCCCTTTGACTTTACATCTGTAAGTAATTAGGAGCACAAGCAATTGGATTTCATGCTGTTTTGATATTTATAAGATTTCTCTGTATTTCTGTCTTAAAGCATGACTTTCCAAAAATCAAGAGATGGTGGGCACTAATTCTTTTGGAGAACTTTGGAGTTGTCCCAGAAAAGTATGTCCTTATTTCCCTACAGTTCACACTACCTTGCACCTTATCCCAGACTAATAAAAAAAATCAACCAAAAAATGTTACAGGACAGAAGACACTAGAGCTACATGAAGAACAAGCTACACCCAGCAGCAGTAAGGTATTTGTCAGTAAATGTGTGTTGTTGCAAATGTGTAATTTATATGAAATAGTAAAACTGTATTATTCTTTGCCATTTTGTAATGAAGGAGCTCACTATAATCAAACACATGAAACTGGCTGTAAAATGGATACACGCCAATAGACATGTGTTCAGGGGCCCTGTGGAAGAGCCTCTTTTCCTCAGAATGGAAGAGGATGACAAGGAAAAGGCCCTCCAAATCTCATCAAAGATGTGGAAGACTGCAGAGACCCATTCACATTTAATTTTTCATTCAGGGAAGACATGGAGATTTTTTTAGTTGAATGCCATGAAAAAATGGGATTAAAATTGAATTCTTCTTTTGAAGAGTGAAAATTATAAGACTTTCAAAAGCTTTTTTTTATATATTACAATTACATTTCTAAATTTTTATTTTAGTTCTATTTTTGGTTGTTGAAATGTTTTTTTTATTAGTATGTTGCACTTTTTCCATGTTCAATTTGAATTTTAAAATAAAAAGTATTCTTGACATCAAACGTTCATTCTCTGTGTCTTTGTTACAAAAAGTATTTGTTACAAAACAAACATGACCTAAATATCTCATCATAACCTACAGTCAAAAAAAATGTTACAGTTTACTAGATTGATCAAAATGAATATGAATTTAAAAAATAAAATAAATTTTTTATATAATTTTTTTAGTATTTTGTGTATTATTAAATATTGTAAATCCTATCAAAATTCTTGGGATAGCTCATATTACATCTAACAAAAGAAAATTGCACTACAAACGGTTTACTAGATTGATCAAAATGTATATGAATTAAAAAAATAAAATAGTTTTTTAATATAATTTTTTAGTATTTTGTGTATTAAATATTGTAAATCCTATCAAAATTCTTGGGATAGCTCATATTACATCTAACAAAAGAAAATTGCACTACAAAACTGTGACAGAACCACCGTTAACCATATATGGTTCGCCTTACTTCCGGCCTGGATCGTGTGTCCTGAAACGTGTGGGGCTGCGGGTCTGCAGCTGGATATTATTGCTTCCCTTTGACACCCCCTGTGGTGTTCTAGAGAGAAAATCAGCTGCACAGTTCTCAGGACCAGTCCGATATAACACCATGGGCTGCAATTCACCAGGTTGTCCTTGCAAAAGTACAGCTCCCAGACCAAACACTGAAGCATCCGTTTGTACTGTAAATGACTGATCAAAGTTTGGACTTTGCAAAACAGGTTCTTTGCACAACGCAACTTTCAAATCTTTAAAAGCACTTTAACACTCTGCAGTCCAATCAGTCTAATTGGGTTTATCCTTCTTTTTAAGGTTAGTAAGAGCTACGGCTTTTGCAGAGAAGTGAGGAATGAAACGTCTGTACCACCCAACTAGCCTCAGGAAAGATCGTACCTGCTTTTTTTGATGTAAGTCGCTCAGCATGCTCGATGAACTCAATCTTTCCTACCTAAGGGTGTATAACTCCATGCCCCAGTATATATCCAAGGTAAGTAGTTTCTGTTTTGGCAATGGCACACTTGTCTGGGCGAATGGTAAGTCCTGCTGCTTTTGTCCTTGCCAGTACCTCTGTCAGATGCTGTAGATCAGGGTTCCTCAAACCTTGCCCTGGAGGGCCAATGCACTGCAGAGTTTAGCTCCCACCCTGACCAAACTCACCTACCTGAGATTTTCTAATGATCCTGAAGACATTGATTAACATGCTCAGGTGTGTTTGATTAGGGTTAGAGCGAAACTCTGCAGGAAAGTGGATCTTGTGGGCCAGATTTGAGGATTCCTGCTGTAGATGGTCCTCCCAGGTCTTACTGAAGATAAAAATATCATCCAGATATGCTGCTGCAAACTGCTCAGTGCCCCGAAGAATCTGGTCAATCATTGTCTAGAAAGTACCAGGTGCTCCATGAAGCCTGAATGGTAGGACTTGGAAATGGAAGTGTCCAAAAAGGAATTTTCAAAGCTGTTAACTCTTTGCTGTCTGGACTAAGTGGTATTTGCCAATTTACATAGATCAAGTGTTGTGAGGAACTTTGCACTACCAAGTTTTTCTATTAACTCGTCTACTCTGGGCATGGGGTATGGGTAAAATTTACTCTCTGCATTGAGTTTTCTGAAGTCCAAGCAGAATCAAAGTGTTCCATCCTTCTTTGGAACCAGGACGATGGGATTATTCCACTCGCTGAATGATGGTTCTGTAACTTCCAGTATCTGCATGGTCTCAATTTCCTGTTTCGTTGTGAGTAACCATTTCTCTGGCACTCTATAAAGACATTGGAGAATTGGTTTACTGTCTTTCAGGTAAATGTGATGCTGGACAAGGTCTGTTTTACCAGGTGTATTTAGAAAAAGTTGGTGAGGGATGCTCTCCAGCAGTTGTCCCCTCTGCTCCGCATTCAGTTGTTGCAAATCCAAGGAACAATCATCCTGATGAACAGGTAGCTCTCACCAGCAGCTCCTTTTCAGCATTTGCTGTCGGCTCTGGCTGGGAAGCTTGTTCATGCCACTTTTTCAGCATGTTAACGTGGAAGATCTGCAAAGGTTGTTGTCTCTATGGAATTTCAATCTCATATGTAACTTAAACCAACTTTGCTTTTTCCTGGAATGGACCTTGCCATTTCGCTAGAAGTTTGTTGTCTGATGTTGGAAGTAATAACAATACTTGCTCTCCCGGTTAAAAAGTTCTTGCTCTTGCTTTCATGTCATACCAGGCTTTTTGCTTAACCCCATGGGGTCAAAGCCTGCACCAGTGGGGTGTGTCCAGTTTTAAGATTGTATAAATTAATATTGTATAAATGCAATATAATATATAAGATTGTATATATACAATATAAGATTGTATAAATTGCTGCGCTTACACTCTTAAAAATAAATGTGCTTTACATATATTGTGCTGGGCTTACTCCGTGTAATCACTTGTCATAATTATTGGCTATATTTATGTTGTTTAAATTAACAAGGTCAAATAAACTGATTTAGTTCACTGAAGCACAAGCCATTACATGGTCTGAGATCACTCTCAAGAAAAAAAGTTGATCCCCTGAAAGTCACTGTTTAATTCACAAACTGTCTGAGGGTCACAGTCAGCAGAACTCAAACAAATGGCAACTAATGATTAATTTAAGACATCTATCATTGTTATTGTAATTATGTTTTATTTTTATTTTTTCCAACTGCATTTCATTCTTCTTTCTTGAGTTGTGTTCACCTTACTGCGTTTGTACAGTTCTTTTATGGATTGCATGACCTCCTCTGTCTTTAGAGTGTATATTATAGGATTTAACATAGATGGTATTACCTGTCTCAAAGAATTGTTAATTATTCGGGTGTTTGGATCAATAGATGTTGTTAAGGCTGCAATATTATTGCTTATAAGTGGAAGATATCCAATAGCCACCAACATGAGATGAGAGGTGCAGGTTTTCATGGCCTTGATCCGGTCAGCTCCATGAGCAATCTTAAGCAGAGCCAGAGCAATGCAGAAATATGAGATGATGATCAGTATGAGTGGTGTGCACATGAGGAGACCAAAGCTAATTTTTCCCATCATAATATTTATAGAATTATCATTACAAGCTAGTTTATAGATAAGACCTTGATCACAAAAATGACTATCAATCACATTAGATCCACAAAACGAGAGTCTATTCACCAAACCTACAAGTACAGAAAAATATGTCACAGAAAAAATCCACATCACCCCTATGATCATAAACATGGCTGGTTTGGTTACAATGGCATGATACCGTAGAGGAAAACAAATAGCAACCAGCCTGTCATAAGCCAAAGCAAGTAGTGTCAAAGACTGCATGTTCATGAAATGATATACAAAAAACATATTTGCCAAGCATGCTTCATATGAAACAACCTGGTGCCCAAATAAAAATGTGTCCATGACTTTTGGAATCAAAGCTGAGCTTCCACACAGATCAGAAAGGGCCAGATGAAAAACAGCAATGTATTTGGCAGTGTGAAGTCTGCGGGCCAAATAAATGATACACATGATAAATGAATTCCCCAAAACAGTCACAACATACACTAAAGACAAGAACATATAGTAGTATTTCACATGTGGAACATTAGAAAATCCATTGATGAAAAATGTAGCAGGACGAACAAAGGTCACATTTGCAGAGGAGTTTGACTGCATGGAGCTCATGATTCCTGTTGTCTGGCTTTTTCGTGTCTCCTTTGACGAAGAACTGTTATAGAAATACACTAAATAACAGAGAATATTCAAGTAATCATTTCATTTCCAGTCATAGTGCTTTTTAGACAAAATGCTTGGGATTTCTTTGATATAATAATTTTTCCCAAATAATAAAACTGTCACTGCAGTAAAACGATTAGAGAGAAACAAAGGAAACACATACTCTACCTTCTCCAAAGCTGCCAGAATGGCATTACTATACAAGCCATCAGACAGATTGATATTTATATTCATAGCTTGGGCTTGGGACTTTAGTTGATGGAGCAACGCTTCTCCCTATAGACTTGCACAAGAAGGGGCAGGAGTAAATCAATGTAAGCGTGTAAGCCATTATCTAGAAAAAATGTTTTTTAATGTATACATATACAACTTCAGATATACATACACACACACATAAATATTAAGATATACTGTATATACAACATTAAGATAAACTGACTACAGTTATTGTTTGTTTGTGGGTCTTTCTGCCTTTAGTTTTGTCGGATTGAGATCAGGAGATTGACTTGGCCATTGCAGAATATTCCACTTTTCTACCTTCAAAACCTCCTGGGTTGCTTTTGCTGTATGATTTGGGTCATCATCCATTTGTACTATGAAGCGCCGCCCAATCAGCTTTGCTCTATTTGGCTGAATGCAGACAGTATATCCGTATACACTTCAGAATTCCTCCAGCTGCTTCTGTCTTCTGTCACATCATCACTAAACACCAGTAACCCAGTGCCTCTGGAAGCCATGCATGCTCATGCCATCACACTGCTGCACCATGTTTCACAGACAATGTTGTATGCTTTGGATCATGAGCTGTTCAAAGCCTTCTCAATACTTTTTTTCATCCTGTCATTCTGGTACAGGTTGATCTTAATTTCATCCAAAGAATGCATTTCCAGAAGTGGTCTGGCTTTTTTAGATGTTTTTTGGCAAAGTCTAATCTGGCCTTGTTTGCATCTTGCTGGTGAACCCTCTGTATTTGTTCTCGTGAAGTTTTCTCTTGATTGTAGACTTTGACTGTGACACACCTACCTCCTGGAGAGTGTTTTTCACTTGACTGGATGTTGTGAAAGGGTTTTTCTTTACCATGGAGAGAATTATTTGATCATCCACCACTGTTGTCCTCCGTGGATGTCCAGGACTTTTTATGTTGCTGAGCTCACCAGCGCGTTCTTCTTTTTTTCAGAATGTACCAAACTGTTGATTTGGCCACTCCTAATGTTCCTGCTATCTCTCTGATGGATTTTTTTGTTTTGTTTTTTGTTTTTGAAGCCTAACAAATGTCTGTTTCACTTGCATGGAGAGCTCCTTTGACTGCATGATGTGGGTTTACAGCAACAGCTTCCAAATGCAAATGGAACACTTAGAATCAACTCCAGACCTTTTACCTGCTTAATTGATGTAGAAATAACGAAGGAATAGCCTACATCTGTCCATGAAATGGCTTTTGAGTCAACTGTCCAGTGTCCAATTACGTATGGTCCCTTGAAAAAGGGGGGAGGTGCATATTAAAGAGTTGTAATTCATTAACCTTTCCTCCAGTTGTGATGAGAATACCCTCAAATTAAAGCTCAGAGTGTGCACTTTATGCCCATATTCATTATATAACTGTAACTGTTTGTCATAGCGTTTGACTACATTAATTTAGTTTAATAAACAAGCCCTAATATAATGATTTAGTTTACTGAAGCACAAGCCTGTATTTCATGGTCTGTATTATACAAATACTGCATAAAACGAATTAAGTCAACATTATTGAACTGAAAAAAAAAATAACCCATATAAAACCATGTGAGTGTCTCTGAAGTTTTAAATAAATATCTCTCATTTTGTTGACAGCTTGAGCTGTGCACTTCTTGAGCAGTGCCATCACTAGTGGACGTTCTCCATGCATTACGCACAGACCAGGGTAGTTTATATTAGAATTCACTGTAGAGCATTTACATGACAATTTTTTTTATCTGTTTTATGGATTGGTTGTTGCAGTACTAAAATATTGTCTTGCTGTCTTGTGTTGTTCACTGTGTGGGGGCTATATATGTAGAACGTTGTTATATGGCCTTAGTTCACAGAAGTATATGCCTGCATTACATGATCTGATCTCAAGAAAAAAAACTGATACCCTGGAAGTTAGTATTAAATTCACAAACTGTCTGATGATTTTTTTAAGATGTCAGGATAACAGTAATGATGCAGAAGCATTTTTAAAATTTTTATATTGACAGCAAATGTAAATGTTCTTTCAATTGACTTGTTAAACTTAAAGCACTGAAAGAAAATGTGACTTTTAAAAATCTTTATTTTTATTTTGTTTTATTTTTTTTGGCTCCGGACTTATTGTTTGTACACTGTTTTGAATAAAGGAAGCAATAACAAAGAAACTTTAATATATTTCATTTTTCAACATATTTTGTCTATTTATAATACCATTGCTGCTACAACATCAGACTGTACAAAATTAATCTGTTAAATAAGATATTTGTTAAATGATCACAGCTGATGAAACAACTAATCAAATATCTGCAGTCAAAGAGTTTCTTTTAAGCAGGTAATTACACACCAATCAACACACCGTCAACAACAGTCAACACCAATAACACACCGATTAGAAGACATTAGATTAAACCTGTAAATATTTTCACTTTTTCCAACTGCATTTTATTTTTATTTCTCTAGTTGTATTCACCCTGCTGCGTTTGTACAGGTCTTTTATGGATTGCATGACCTCCTCTGTCTTTAGAGTGTATATGATGGGATTCAGCATAGGTGGTAATGTCTGCGCCAGGGAATTGTTAATTATCTGGGCATTTGGATGCAAAGGTGTTGTTACAGATGCAAGGACATTGCATAAAACTGGGAGATAAAAAATTGCCACCAATATGAGATGTGAAGTGCAGGTTTTTACGGCCTTGATCCGGTCAGCACCATGAGCAATCTTAAGCAGAGCCAGAGAAATGCAGAAATATGTGATGATGATCAGTATTAGCGGTGTGCAAATCAGGAGACCATAGGAAATTTTACCCATCATAATATTTATGGAAATATCATTACAAGCTAGTCCACAGATTGGGGCATAATCACAAAAATAACTATTAAGTACATTAGACCTACAAAAAGAGAGTCTATTCACGAAACCTACAAGTAAAGAAAAAAATGTCACAGACACAATCCACATCACCCCTATGATCAGAAACATGGCTAGTTTGGTTACAATGGCATGATACCGTAGAGGAAAACAAATAGCAACCAGTCGGTCATAAGCTAAAGCAAGTAGTGTCAAAGACTGCATGTTCATGAAATGATACACAAAAAACATATTTGTTAAACACGTTTCATAAGAAATGTCTTGGTGATCAAATAAAAACATGTCTATGATTTTTGGAATCAAAGCTGAGCTTCCACACAGATCAGAAAGGGCCAGATTAAAGACTGCAATGTATTTGGCTGTGTGAAGTCTGCGTGCCAAATAAATGATACACATGATAAATTAATTCCCTAAAACAGTCACAACATACACTAAAGACAAGAACATATAGTAGTATTTTGCATGTGGGATATTAGAAAAGCCACTGATAAAAAATGTAGCAGGACGAACAAAGGTCACATTTGTAGAGAAGTCTGCATGCATGGAGCTCATGATACTTGTTGACTGGCTTTTGTTTCACCTGTGATAAAGAACTGTTATTCAAACACACAAAATAACAGAATATTCCTACACTAATTTCAATTCCAATCATTTTTTAAATTAACTATTTTTATAATAATAACATCATTAATAATAATAATAATAATCATCATTCTTATTATTATATTCATATTAAATGTGTCTCATAAAAACAGATGCAGATGTGGCTTGAAACAACAACTTTTTTTTTAACTACAGTTAGGTCCATATATATTTGGACACAGGCACAATTTGTATTATTTTAGCTGCTGACCAAAACATATTCAAGTTACATAATATGGGCTTAAGGCCTATCCACCTTATTTTTTATGTAAGAGTGTGTTACATTCCATTTGTAACCTGAATGTGCAAGGCTTCCGGTGTAATGTGCTTAGTTATTTTAGCTTGTACAAAAACATTACCTTATGCTGCTTGATATTGCAAAGTATTATTTGTTATCATATTATTTAAATGTATTATTGTAATCATAAACACACTGGTTTGTAGAGCAATTTGTTTTACCATTTACTGCTGGTTCAATAGCTAATGAATCAAGTCTTTGAAACAGTTTACTTTTGAGTTGCAAAATAAAGTGGATAACTTTTTGCATATTGTTAAAAACTTGGCACGCAGCTGACAACGAAAGGCTTTCTTGAATATTCAATGTAATATATGTATTTAGAGAATTAAATAGATATATATATATTTTTTATTATTATTATTATTATTATTTTGTGTACAACTATTACTTTTAGGCAGTCTGTGTTTTTAATGCTTTTTATTCACAATTTTTTTTCACAAATCAGTGTAGGCCATTATTAATTTACTTATTAATTCCTTTTTATATATGCTATGCATTTACTTACAATTATTTGCAATTACTGATTAAAAGTAAATAAATAAATCGATTGAATAACTATGAGTATAGTTGAACAAAAGTAAACACTGTAATTCTCTCTTGTTTTGGCCCTTTTTTGATGGGTAGCCCAAAGTGCCCCTTTTATTACTTCCCTGATAAGGTCAGATGGAAAGCAGCAGGGATACATTTTAAGTAAGGAACAAAAGAATTACACACTAAAGGTAGAATGCTATTACTTTCCCACTCTTTGTTTTATTATTTTAATAACAATGGTAATTATGTGTTTTTTCTTATTATTATTTAATACATCACAGTAGTGGCTTTAGCATTTGTTGTGGGTTTATGAAGCCATGATACCTGTTGTCTGGCTTGTCGTATTAAATTATATTTAGAAATGCAGAACATTGAAGCATAAATTATTCAACAACAACGATAAAACAATACAAATGACAACAGTGTCTGACAATGTTTTTAAAATTGGGGACAAAATGGTTTATTTTGGAGATGGGAATATGGTTCTCCGTTTAAAAAGCCTTTTCAAAGAGATTATGAACTCCTCTGTCTTGAATGTGTAGATTATAGGGTTAAGCATTGGAGGAAGTGCAGAGGTCAGAGAGAGATTAATGATCCTTGTGTTCGTGTCTATCATGGAAGAAAGAGCATATGTAAAAGTGATGGGTACATAAAATATGGCCACTACTATCAAATGAGCAGTACATGTCTTTGTGGCTCTTTGACGGTCCTGTGGAGCTGTTATTCTAAACAGTGTCACAGCTATGCATGTGTATGAAAAGATGATCCAAAATACTGGAAAGCCGAGAATTAATATTGGGTACAAACGGGCTATCACAGAGCTTGGGAAATTGCTGCTACAGGCAGAATGATATATAGGGCCATGATCACAGTAGAAACTATTTATGATGACAATAACTCTACAGAAAGAAAGCCTGCTGATAAAAACTGTAGCAGCGATTACCATAAGCAGTGCCACTGCCCATGTGACTCCAATTATAACAAGCATTGATCTGTGGGTCACAATCATATGATACCTCAGTGGTAAACAAATTGCTACTAATCTGTCAAAAGACAGAACAGCAAGAGTTAAGGACTGTGTTGAAATAGATACAAACACAGAGAACATATTACACAAGCACAATTATATTTTAACATGCATCATAAAAACTTCCATTGCCATTGTATTTTATATACAATATGCAAGATTTTGTATAATACATGCTGCAAATACAGTGGATAAGGTGTACTCACAGAAAGAAAGATATGACTATAGGAAGTCTTGTTGAAGCTAGTATAGAAACAGCACTGTAAAAAGACTTCCCCAGACCTGATACATGCTGAACTATATATCCTTCAGATACAAATGGCAGGCCTCTCCAGACTTGTCAGTTGACCAATCACAGCACAGTTCTGACATGATCAGGTACGTCAATGAAATACACTGACTAATCAACAGGAAAACTGCAGTTGTAAAGGAAGCCCTTAACGCACAAAATATGCTATAAGAAGTTATAAGTTAGGGTTAGTGGTTGCACATCTAAAGTTTTACATATCACTACAGAAATTGTTTAAATATTCAACTTTAGAACACATACAACTTTAGAACACATGCGCACTTTACAGTCTACAATCAATGCTTAGGACAATAAAGAGATTAAAGAGATCTTTCTACTGACTCTGACCAAAAGAATTATGCCTAGGGTTCCTCAACATGTTAAGCTGGCTCAACATGGTGTCCTCCATGGCAGACGTGTTTGCTTGCTCCACTCTTCAACGCTGTGTTTTTGTGTGTCTCTTTGTGTATCTTGTTTTGTTTTTTTTTTAAGTGCAAAAATGTTATGCATTGATAACTTAGCAAACGCTGTTAGACATCACTAGGTTGCAGCATGACTCTGCATACACCAGTTTTATACCCCTAGACTTGTATTGCATTGTTCGCCCCACATGTGATCACGCCATCCACGAGAAGGCCTCCCCACACTGCACACAGGTGAAAAAAAATGTAGACACAAGCAAGGCAGTCACATTCGTCTGCATACAGCAGTGAGGTAGCAAGTCTGGTGAAATGGTGTGAGGACAACAATCTCACCCTCAACACAGATTAAACCAATGAGGTGATTGTAGACATGAGGAAGGAGAGGAAATCTCACTGGCAACTGATCATCCATGGGCTTGAGGTGGAGAGGATGAGTTGCTTCAAATTCCTGGGTGTCTATATTAGTGATGACCTCACTTGGTCAACTAACACCAACCGGGGGTGCATTTCCCAAAAGCATGGTTAGCCATCTATGGTCACAAGTTCCGTCATCACCAACATCGTTCAACAATTCGGTGTTTCCCGAAACCATAGTTCAAATGAACATTCGCAAACAGCGTCCATGGTTCCATGTTCAATACAGCAGCATCGTAGAGATGTCTAATCGGCTAAATAGCAGAAGTTATTCCTCCACCACCTGCGTGTGACGTCATTAACAACGGCCCTATATTGTTGAACTAATGTGGTTCAAACGACGGAGATGCGACCGTGTTCGGGAAACAGTCGTGATAAGCTAGTTCGTTTCCACAACAATGCATCGTACTATGGTGGTTAATCAGCGAGTTACGTCGTTGTATGGGAAACGCACCCCAGCTTGTCAAGAAAGCACAACAGCTTCACAACAACGTCACCAAAGATCCTCAGGAGCTTTTAAAGAAGCGCCATTGAGAGCATTTTAACCAGCAGTATCACAGTGTAGTATGGAAATGGACACAGAAATGGACCGTAAGCACCTGCAGAGATATTTGAAATCGACCCTCCCAATTGTTCAGGTTATATTTTTGCCATTTGTGCCTTAAGGACAGTTAAGGGTAAACAGGGAACTAATTGGAGAGTAGAGAGGGAAACAGAATTGGGAAAAGTTCTTGAGTTGGGGTGCAAACTCTAGTCACCTGGCATAAGATGCACTATATATGTGAGTTAATTTAAAATATGTTAATTGTCATATACATTGTTAATATAAATACATGACATGATTTTGTAGCATTTCAGGTTGCTGAAAAGCAGCCAGTCACCTTTAAAAATGTACAAGCTTATGATTTAAAAATAAGAGGTCTCGTATGAACAAAAGTGTAACAAGAAAAACAAAACTTCAAAGCATTAAATTAACAAACAGCTACTAATCAGTAAAGCCAACTGCAACATCAAGGCCCAAAATTAAGAAAGAAAACATTTTTTAATTATGATGTGGGAGGTACAGTTTTTTATGGATTTTATGGACATTAAACACAAAAGCACAGCAATGCAGAAATCTGAGATGGTGATCAGTATTATTGGAGTACAGATACAAATTAACCAGATGAACAGAAGTTTACATGTGTAGATAAAGCTAACAGCATGATACTTTTTTTATATATATATTATTATTTTTATAAAAACTGTGATATCAGATTGTTGAAATGCATTATTAATTTGAGAATTTAGAAATATTAATTACTATAAACATCATGAAGAATAAAGTGAATAAAGTGGGAGGAAAGAGGTTTACTTTGAAGATGGGAATATGAATCTTTGTTTAAGAAGTCTTTTCACAGACACCATAAACTCTTCTGTCATGAATGTGTAGATTATTGGGTTAAGCAATGGAGAAAGAGCAGAAGTCAGAGAAAGATTAATGATCCTTGTATTAGTGTTAATAAAGGGCCAAAATGCATATGTAAAAGTAATGGGTACATAAAATATAGCCACTAATATTAAATGAGCAGTACATGTCTTTGTGGCTCGTTGACGGTCTTGTGGGGTTGTGATTCTGAACAATGTCACAGCTATACATGTATAGGTAAAAACAATAAAAACCCCTGGTAACCCAAGGATGATTACAGGGTACAAAACGGATATCACAAAGCTCTGAAAATAATCGCTACAGGAAGAACGTGATATAGGCCCATGATCACAGTAGAAACTATTAACGATTACAACAACCCTGCAGAAAGACAGTCTAGTCAGGAAAATGATTGCAGCTGTTGCTATCGACAGTCCTATTATCCATGAAGCACCAATCATAACAAGCATTGATCTGTGGGTCACAATCATATGATACCTCAGTGGTAAACAAATAGCTACAAATCTGTCAAAAGACAAAATAGTAAGAGTAATTGATTGCACTGCAAAAATAACACAATTGAAAAACATTTGGGACATGCACAATCCATACAGAATGAACTGATTTCCAAACATGTATGCTTCCAGTTGCTGAGGGATCACAGCAGTACTCTCACAAATGTCTGTCAGTGCTAAATTAAAGACAGCAATATATTTAGGTGTGTGAAGATTTCGGTCCACAATAATCACAATCATGAGAAAATAGTTTCCAAGCACAGTAATAATGTAGACAAAAAACAGAAATATATAATAGTATCTAATGTGAGATACACCAGAAAAATCAGTGATGTAGAAATGGACGGGATGGAAATATTCCTGTTTTCAGTGAAATCTGGATGATTTTCATAAGCAATTATATTTTTTATCTACTTTACAGTATATATACAATTCTAAACATTTTACATTTGTATCTTTGAAAGCTGAATCTTACATTGCCTTATTAAACTCAAATTTTGTATATATTATGCAAGATTTCAGGATAATAAATGCTGTGAATTCAGTGTACTCACACAAAGGTGAAGAGCAACTCAATTAGGCCCTGAGAAGTTTTTCTTCAGGCTTATCCAGGCACACAGCACTGGTAAAACACTTCCCCTGACCTGGAACACGCTGCACTATATATCAGTCAAACACTGATTGTGGTACAAATGCTAAGACTCTCTGGACTTGCCAGTTGACCAATCATGGCACAGAACTGGCACTGATGGCATGATCAGCTATGTCAGATACAGTGATAAATCCATAGAGAGGAGAAACTGTTGTGCTGCTGCTTCATGATGACCTAAGCAAGTATTCCAAGGGTGTGAAATAAAGTCATTTGAGCATTTGCCTTCTAAAAGTTTGGGAATTACAGTCACTTGTTTCAGTAGTGAGGGACTGTTTTTATTTTAAGAATTTTTTTTAAATGCCAATATAGATGCATGATGCAAGCTAACTGGCCAACATAAATAAATGGATTTTTCTGGTCCTTAATGCTGATTGGTCAATGGTTGTGTTTTATTTCTGATAAAGCATAGTTATAACTGCTGTGTCATTACACATCTGTGTATTACTTTGGAAGAGAGTATACTGTCGATCTACAATCAATATACTGTCAAAACTGGTATATATTATGAGAAGTGTGAAAAGTGATGCAAAATAACCAAGGATTCCGTTTACCCAGGGTTTAGAATGACCCAGGTTTAACTATTTCAAGTGTGAAAAGCCTATCTCTTTGTGTTTACGGTCACTGTAAGGAACTATTTTTCTAGCTGAAAGGTTTCTAGCTAATGCTTTTTCTTCAAAAAAATAACATTAATACATGTATTTTTGGTTTTAATATGTGTATTGTGTGGTTATACATACATACATACATTTGTGTAAATAATTTCATTGTTTAAAACCTTGTTTCAATCCTGAATTAATTAGTTTTTGAATGAATTGGCTGAATGAATGGTCTACTAACTCACTTATAAGGATAGTCACTTGCCAACACCTACGGCGTAACACTGAAGTCACTGAAAAATACTCACCACTACATCATTTCTCAATATATATAAATATTATTAATTCAACAATACTATTTGATGAACAATAATAATCATTATACAAGCATAGGAAGTTTGCACAATAGGAAATAGACAAGCAAACAATTCAGAATTTAAGTTAAATAAAAATACAAAGTTATGAAGCTGAGCACTCAGCCAAAATGACTTGCCCAGTAACAAATAACAGATTCATTAAACCAAAGATTGCCTGTTAGATATACCTCAAATGAATTATATATCTCATGTTTAACCACTATAAAGAGTAATCATAACCAACAGCGAATGTCTGAAGGACTTGCCGATATAAGGCTGTTCTCAGAGAGATACAAGAGCACTGACTGCATGGTGATAACCCAGACTTCACAACTCCAAAAATATCAGAGCAAATTTTCAAATAGGGTGCTATCTTCATAAACTGCAGATCTGAGGTTTAAATATCTACATTTTGACCTGAAAACAACAACAAAAAATCTTAAAATTACATTCTGTGAAACAACAACAGTAGTATTTCAAAAAATTATAGTGGGTTTTCTCCTACATTATGACCACACTCTGGGAGAAATGCTGGATGTCTAGAACACACAGACGCACACAGTCCAAGTGCTGATACTGGTTCAAACCACAAATAATAATGTTATTAAATAGGGGGAAATACATTTTTATTTATGAGACGGGAATATGAATCTTCGTTTAAGAAGTCTTTTAACAGACACAATGAACTCCTCAGTCATGAATGTGTAGATTATAGGGTTAAGCATTGGAGGAAGTGCAGAAGTCAGAGAAAGATTAATGATCCTTGTGTTCGTGTTAATAAAGGGCCAAAATGCATATGTAAAAGTGATGGGCACATAAAATATAGCCACTAATATTAAATGAGCAGTACATGTCTTTGTGGCTCGTTGATGGTCTTGTGGGGTTGTGATTCTGAACAATGTCACAGCTATGCATGTATATGAAAAGATAATAAAAGCTACTGGAAACCCAAGGATGACTGCTGGGAACACACTGGCTATCACAGAGCTTAGGAAATTATTGTTACAAGCTGAACGATATATTGGCCCATGATCACAGTAGAAACTGTTAACAGTGACAATAAATTTGCAGAACGAAAGTCTGCTCAGGAAATTTACTCCAATGATTGTTAATAATAGTACTAGTGTCCATGAAGCACCAATTATAACAAGCATTAATCTGTGGGTCACAATCATATGATACCTCAGTGGTAATGAAATAGCAACTAATCTGTCAAAAGACAAAATAGTGAGAGTTAGTGACTGCATTGCGAGAAATAACAAAACAGAGAACATACTGGACATGCACAATCCATATGGGATCAACTGATTCCCAAACAAAAACGTATCCAGTAGCTGAGGGATCACAGCAGTACTCTCACTAATGTCAGTCAAAGACAAATTAAAGACAGCTATATATTTAGGTGTGTGAAGATTTCGGTCCATAATGATAACAAACATGAGGCAAGAATTCCCAAGCACAGTAATAATGTAGACAAAAAACAGAAATATATAATAGTATCTCATATGAGGTATTCCAGAAAAACCACTGATATAGAAATAAGACGGGATGGAAATATTTCTGTTTTCAGTGACATCTTGATTCACAACCATTTCACTCACTGATCCTGTATTCATGCTGTCTAGATAGAAAAGCACAAATTGAGTTATATTAAACACAGCAGCAACTACTACATTATAGTTAAGACTCTCAGTTAGATCTCAACCAAAAAGCCCAAACTTTTATCATGCATGCAATAGTTAAAAAACAAACAAACATAATCTCACATTGTTAAATTCAATTCAAATTTTGTATATAATACACAAGATTTGAAGAGCATGCTACAATGCAATTAATGTACAGTATGATATACCCATAGAATCGTTAAGAGTGGATCAATGGGCCCTGGAAAGCTCAGGCTTATACAAGCACACTGAACATACTGAACTATATACAGTATGCCACTGATTATGATACAGTACGAATGCCAGGCCTCTCTGGACTTGTCAGCTGACCAATCATGTTACTAATGTCATGATTAGCTACATCACATACATCAAATAATCCATAGAGAGGAGAAACTGTTGTGCTGCTGCTTCATGATGGCCTACTGTATCTTCGAAATATTTTAAATGAAAAGGCAATCTTAGTATCTAAAAAGATACTCCATTTTGGAAATATAGAGAAGTTCTTTGCTATCTAGAAACTAGACACTGTGAAGGATGGCCTTCGCCCTCAAAAAGTATGGAAATAACAGATACATGTGTTTTACACATGAGAAACTCAGGTTTCCTGCCTTTTTAATAAATTATAGCTATTGTAGTAAATTATTTACTGTGTTCTGTGGCTAGTGTATGTGTAAAGTTTCACATTTCGTACATGTATTACCTATGACAGTCATCAGCTGATGACATTGTATTATTAAGCTACTAGCTTGTTTATTCATAATATGTTGTGTCTGTTATTTTAGGTTTTCATAGTCTGCACTCAAATGTGTGTGATGAGGATGTGTAGTAACCAACAAGTGTTGCATCATCTAAATATGAGGCATTTGTTCCAAAGGATAATGAGTAGCATGTTAATTACCCTGCTAATAGCACTGTGCTTGTTTAGGTAAACCTGTGGAGAGGTTCATGTGGAGCCTGAGAGATTTCAGTCTGGTGTCTCGAAGCTCATTAGTGTGAAGCAACAGGGAAAAAAACAAGTGGAGTGTGACTTACAATGTACCCACAAGAAAACAGGCACAGAGGTGACAGAGGTCACATGGAACTTAACAAAAAATAACAGAAAACAAAAATAATTCCTGGTCTTTGTCACTGTCCTGCAGAGGTCATTTTTAAAATTTCACAACTCTAATGAAATAATTTCCTCAAGCTAAGAGGTACCCAAGTCCATTTCCGTTGATGAATTATAATGGGGATACTAAAACTAATTTTACAGTAACATGGACTATGTTTAAATCATTAATTTTCCTTGTAAACTAATAACATCAGTGTGTTGTCACTCTATATGGGGTAAGTTGTCACAATGAAACCTGCCATTAAATAACCTATTATATGTTTTTAAGCTAAATTAAAATATTTTATATTTGAAATATTTTGAAAACATGAATGGTTGAAACAGTTTATATATCACAAAACAGGTAACATATAAACATAAAACTGTTGTTTTGGGAAAATGTCTATAATATGTAACATACAGTAAACAAGTGACAACTTGCCTCAATAAAAATATAAAGAAACTGTTATTCCATGAAATTACAATATATAAAAGTTGGGAAAACATCCTCTCTACGCAGACATTTTTTTAAAATGTCACTTTTCTTTAAATATATATAAAAATTTCTACCAAAAACATGACTTTAAAATGATTTTTTTTATCTACCATGTAGTTATATAGCCCCTTTATACTTGTGTGACAAACTACTCCATCTCCTAATCATGTCTATTTAAATAATAGATTAATGCAGTATGGTATTGTTGGAGGTATTTTTTCTTTTGTGTGTGTGTGTGTGTAACCACAAAAAATATTTGGAGAGACTTTCTATGTTTAAATCCTAAGTTTACTCAATCACAGCTGCTAGGAAACCATGCCCTATCTGTCATATATTAAGATATAAAAGGCAGGATTTCAGTCATATGTTTATGATGAGAGGTGCATCTCAGACAGTTTATTTTATGCTATTTTAAAGTACTCTAATTGGAATTTTAAAATAGAGGAACTAAAGAACAAAAGGACAAGAAATTATATCACATTATATATTCTTTTTTATTCTTAAGAATGCATGAAACTCTTTTTGTTTTTCTGATAAAACTATATTTCAACTTTCAGACTTTTCATCACCCTGCAGTTACAGACACTGTCTGCATCTTTCTGCCATTTTCCTTCATAGGAGCTTTTTTTCTGTGCAT